TCTTGTTAAGCTTGTTAGCCCCCTGTGTGAAGATATAGCCCTAGTTTTTCTTTAGTTCCTCGTGAGTTGTTGAATGTAATGGTTGTCTGTTTGCCAGTCATTCTGTTCTTTGTTCCCTTTGGTTTTTGCCTTATTGTTTGTTCTAGTTTTTACATGAAATACGAGCACATAGATCCTTGCCTCTGCCTGTTTTCCGCAGCTTCTCCACAACGTTAGTTTTTCACTGGCATGTCTCTTTGACTAGTGCAAAGACTCTTTGAGCCTATATTTAGTATAAGTAAAATACTTAAGTACTGTTAAAATCAGATACTCTAAGACTTTTACTCAAGTTGTTTTGGAATTAGTGACTTGTAACGTGTAGTGGAGTAATTTTCACTGTAAGGTATCTGTACTTTTACTCAAGTATGGTTTTTAGGTACTCTTTACACCTCTGGATGAAATAATATATGAGCTATTTATTTATTTATTTCCAGGTACCATTACGGAATGTTTAGTTAGTTTCGTTTATTATTTTTTTTATTTTATTTATTTATTTTTTAATAGGGAATATCATGCAAGAGTTGCAGGCAGAATGTCAGATAGAGATAAATAATTTTGGTAATTAAAATAAACTAATAATGGCAAATCATGGATTTAGTAGTAGTAGTGTATAAAATGAATATCATTTAAACAGATTAATGACCCTGTTGTTCGATTTGAACTGTTTTCTACAGCTGTAATAGGTAATGGATTGTGCATGTTCAAAACTAATCAGTCTTCCTGGTCTATTTGTTTAGTTTTTTCTCCTGTTTTTCATCACTAGGCAATACTGACCTGGAAATAATCCTGTTTTTTTGTTTGTTTTTTTTAGAATACATTTTCTATAGTCTTAAAAGTCAGTAAAAAGGACTTGTAGGTCAGAACAGCTTTAATGACTAAAAACTGAATTATGAATTATTATCCATGTTGTACTAGTTTCATGTTATCTTGTAGCCTTGCTTTTGAGACATTTACAATTTACATAAAATTATAAAGCCAGTATAAGTTGAATTAGGTGCAAAACCCTGCAAAATTGTTCACAGAAGTTATTTTTGAGAATATTGTATTGCTACAAACTTACATGAGTGTACTAACTGCACTGTTTTGCAGTCACTCATATCGAAAATCACAGCTCCCATTTGGATTAACACACAAGAATAAAATGAACAGATTAGTGGTTTCCTAAATCTGCATGCCCAAATTAGACAGTCTGATGAAAATTGTTCTGTATATTGACCTTTTGAGGTTCTGATATTGTAACATTGTTGTGTATTTGTTGAATATCTAAGAGCGGGTTTTCATTTACTTGGTTTTTAACTCTAAAAGTTCAGAGCATATTTTGATTTGCACAGTCAATTAGTTATTCCGTTCAAAGACGGAGCCATTTAATTCCTCCAAAGAGGATTTGGTCTGTCCCAGAATTGCTTGCCCTGTTTTAAGATCTATCTTACGGAGATGTTTGTTGTGTACACTTTAATAAATGCACGAACCTGTTAAATCTGGAAGAGCAGCAAATGATTTAAACCTAATTAATATTCAAATTGAAAAGGCATCAATGTTATGTTTTCTTCATCGCTACAAATATGATGTGGCATATAACAACCTTACTCGCATGGTAAAATGACTGACTAAACAGGATTCAATTTGCATATTAATGAGCTAGATGACAGATTATAATATTTTGCCTTTTCCCTCAAGGGACAGACTCCTTTTTAGATGGTTCTTTTTCGAGGAATAGCTGATTGCTTTAAAGAAAAAAAACAAACAAACAGATAACTTAAAGAACAATAGAAGTTAATTTGATCTTGTGTTCATCAGGTAAACATTTAAGACCCATTCAGAGGTACTGTAAAACAATCATGCATCTTTTCAAGTTGTAGCCTATCGTAAGTGAATGATTATTGCTGCCTTAAAGGCAGGTTGGATTAATTGTATTTATAAATGTTACCATACAAATTTTATTTACTGGTGATAATGAAAATGATAAAGATTATAAGGACATACAACTAATTTCTGAGATTTGTGAGGTTTGCTCAACAAAACCATGTTTCTTAAAATGTTGGGCACAGAAAATGATAAAATACATTGATATAGCATCTATTACCCACTTAAAGGACACCATTTTTTGTACTAGTGCTAAAAAAAATGATTTGGTGGTAAGTGAAAAATGCCCATCAATTCTTTTTTGGAAAAATGCACAGCACAACATAATTGCGATTTCTGAACCTGAAACTTCCCAGGAAACTTCCCAGAACAACTTAAAGGCAGTATTTTCCAGATTCCTGTGTTAACTAGTCCTTTTTAAATATGAGGCATTTTCTTCTAAATGTTGGCTTAATTGGGAGCAAGTGCCCTTCTCAGAACTGTCAATTCCTCTGTCTGTCAACTTAAAAGGTAACATAAATTTGCACAATGAGGACTGCTGGCCAGGAGGTAGTTTTGCATTGTCAAATGTCAAATCTTTTTAAGATTACATAGTTCAGGTCAGGAAAGAATATGACGTAAAAATTTAACGTTTAAGTGTGTAAGATTTTTTTTTTGCTTTATTGCTCTCTTTTGTACCCCCTTTACTCATGATTTCTCACAACTGCCAGCAGCTTGTTTAGCTCCAGTTCTCACAGTGACACTACTATATAAAACAGATTAGAATCTTTATTTATTGCCTTACAGCTAGAGCCCGCAGAATTTGTTTCCGTCACTTTCACGCAATGTCACCATAGAACAGCACATGAACTTATTACAGGGACAATTCCCCTGGAGCAACCTGGGGTTAAATGCCTTTCTCAAGGGCACAATGGTGATGGCTCATGGCTCACTCGTTACAGGGATTGAAGCGGCCTTAACCACTACTACACACCACTTACACACTAACATATGCTGGAAGACCTTTAATCAAG